CATTTTGGAGTTTCAGCACTAGAATCCCCAGGCGATACAGTTCATGCGTGATAATATGTTTGTAGGCACGTGATGACAGCCCATTAAATATGACGTCACACTCTGATATCGCCAGTTTGATCAAACCGAGTCATGATCATGTTATAGGAAATCTAATTTTATGTACAACAGAAATTTCGAATTTATTGACCTACAGCACCAAATTATACTCATTATTTAAATTAAGAATATTTGCTTTGAGACTTGCTCATTTTTAATATCCAATAAATTTTACCAAAGTGTTAACGTCTTCTATAAAGTAGACTTCGATTAGTCTTGATGATATAAAATAATGTTTGAAAAGAAATAGCATTGTAAAAAGGGCTTTAAGCACTTTAATATGTCAGAACTTGCATAGTTAAAAAAAGTAAAATCCATTCCCAATAATACAACAGTGAACCAAGTTTAAGAAATAATCTTCTATCTTCTATATATATAAAAATGGATTGCTGTTCCTTAGTCTCGCTAAAACTCGAGAACGGCTGAACGGACTTATCTTATCTTAGTCTTGAAATGTTCGTGGAGGTACAGGGAAAGTATAAAAGCTAAAAAAAATTGATTCATTCCTGGGAAAACCATAAAAATAGCCATTTTCTATTTCCCATACAAACGTTCTTTTTGACATTAGATTTGACAACTAACTAATATATCAATCATTCTGTCGCAGTTCAAAACACGAAAATTTATGGCTTACAAGTAAACTCCAAAAATATAAATAAAGAAACGTAATAGATATTTCTTGATTATAGGGCGATACGAAGTTCGCCAGGTCTTCTAGTTATTAGTAATAATTTAAAATGTAATGTATATACTTACTTTAACGGTATTTATATTTTAATATTTATTCTGAATTCTTATGATAGTTAACTAGAGCCATCTGTATATATATCTATACTAATATTATAAAGCTGAAGAGTTTGTTTGTTTGTTTGTTTGTTTGAAAGCGCTAATCTCCGAAACTACTGGTTCGAATTGAATAATTCTTTTTGTGTTGGATAGTCCAGTTATCGAGGAAGGCTGTGGGCTATATAACATCACGCTACGACCTAATAGGAGCAAAGATATAGTGGTAAATGTGTAAAAAACGGGAGAAATTATTTCATCTTTGAGGCCTTCCGTTGCGTGCGCCGTGAAAACGGTTCAAGATACACAAAAAATATGTGTTAAAGAATAATAGCTCTTTTAATGATCTAAAAAACAGTCGGCAACAGTATATGTCTATCTTTTAAGATTAACTCACAAAAACCGTTTTTATGGTACCTAATTTGGTCGAATTAATTTGTTTAAGTTGTATCAACATAATAATATTAATCTTTATTCAAATAAACAAATAAATATGTTGTTGGTTAAGAGTACTTCATTGTGAATTAAAAAAAACATAGATTTTATCCTGAAAATTCTACGGGAACTCGACCATTCCGAAAACCCGGCAAGAACGGGAACTATGTGGAAAGAACCAAAAATCTGCCGGAAGTCACTAATCCACGCGGACGTAGTCGCGGCAAAAGCTAGTTTGTTATAATAGAGTAAATTCTAGTTAATAATCTTTCTGTACAGTAATTTAAATTTACAAAATACTTAACAATTTGATTTATAATTAGAGCCTTAGCATGTTTTACATTATGTTCAGTGTTCTATTATTTAATCGAAACTCTCATGAGGGAGACTAGCGCCCTCTGTATGATATTGTAACACTTTGACCTAAATATGTTCCCAGTAATATTATAAATAAAGTGTATGACTTACGAGTTGGGGAGCAATAAACATCTGGTGGTGGTCGTGATGGCCTAGTAGTTAAAGTATCGCCTCGCGTGCATGAGGGCGCGGGTTAGAAACCTGGCAAGTACGAATGTGATTTTACCAAGTCATATGTACTTTCTAAGAGTATTTAGATACCACTGATAGAGGCGAAAGAAAACATCATGTGTTTATTTCAAATTGTAAGTTTGAAAACTCATACTCGTCTTGAGCAATAACTATTGTTAGCCAGCGTGAGACGCAACACACTTACAACCTCTACCCTCTAGTAGCCACGAGGAGAATCAAAGCTCAAGTAACTATACTGGTGGATCTGTTACTCATAATTTTCATGTTGTACCATCTACCTCGCGGGCTGGTAACCAACGTGGTTCTTCGGCAACACCCTCAATAATGATATAGCTAGCAGTGCTGAGCGATTAAAATTTATTCCGGAACCAATTATAGTCATTGCCACACCTATGGTTTCACAACATAACAATAGTTTCAATCAATTCCCAAGAGTTCTATTACAGCATTATAGAAGTGTTGATAGTACGGACAAATAAAAATAATATAAATACTGGAAATGATATATGAAAGTATACATAATAATTTATTTTAATAGTTAAATAAGGTCCCTTCCCAAATCTTATTTTATGAAAAGGCGATTTCTCTAGATCGATGTAGATAAATTTAATTTACAAATTATGAATACTAAAAAAACAAACGGGTAAAATGAAGAGTAAAATAAATATGTGTAATCGATTAAACTTACCATTTAGTATAACCACCATAAGCTTACTGTTACCACATAAAACAACGTACAAAATGAATTTTAAATTACTGCTGAGACTTAAATTCACGCACAACATTAATTTAATAATCGAAAATTTTCCTACAAATACTTCATACTTCCTACTTCCTACAAATGTCAGTTAAAAAATAGTACTCTAATAATAATCGGAACAGTGATTGATATATTAATTCAATCTAATATTTTGAAACGTCATGCTAAAAATCTTAGTATATTGCGTTTGAATATAACAACAATAAGAATTTTCAACATTCTGTTCTGTGAATCTAGTGTCATAATAATTGATGAAGTTGATAAAAAAAGAGTTACAATATAATACAGAGGGCGCTAGTTTCCTATCCTGCAAAATTCCCCATTTATAATAGAATGTAAATAACGTTAAACTTAGAAAATTAAATGGTTCAACCCTCACCTAAATGTTACATTGAATATTATAAAGGGAATGTAAGTGCTGGACTAGTGATTCTATTACAAGTGGTGAAGCAATAAACATCAAAGTTATTGTCACTGAAACATATAAGGTGGAGAAGTTCGTAAAATAAATATCAAAACATTTTCGCTAAATTGATTCATGTAAAATTGCGATGTATGTAAATACATATTTCCCAAAAAACGCAATACAAAAGATTAAGTCTAAACAAGACTAGCAGGCTTAAGTATAGTTTAGTAATAATTTTTAGGCTAATGAGATGTAAGATTTTCGCGAGTACTCATTTAAATGAAACTAATATTTTCGGATTTTACTTCGCCTTTTATTTTTGATTAGAAACTACATACTCCCGACGTTTCGGCTACTTTTCAGAAACCGTGATAACGGACAGACGAGATGATCTCGAAGTAAAATCCGAAAATATTAGTTTCATTTAAATTTTTAGGCTATTCTCAAATCAAAATGTTTCTAACAAAAGTTCCAATAAGTGTATAAAACTCTTTATAAATAAAACCAATGTTATATTATATAATTTATTAGACATCAATATATAATTTAAGTGTATAATCATGAAGTAACTATAATAAATATAAATTGGCCTCGACATTCACAACAGCATTAAAAAGCCAAATACAAGCGTTTTGAGCCAAACCAATACAAATAGTAGGCTTGGCTTTACATTTAAAAATGTAATAACTTACAATATTCTTAACTAGTATGAAAATAATGTAAAGGTGGGGAGGAGATTCAGTGTTGCCAGGATTAAAGATATAGGATTTTTGTAGGGAAATTATTGAATAATATAATTAATAAATGTTTTTGTAAATATTAAATTCAATTGTACTTCTTCATATTCAATTAATGAGAACATTACTTATTCATTATCATGAAATTACTTTTAGACTTTTCAATTTTTTCACAATATATAATATAAGCTTTTCTTAATTATTATCAGTTGTTTAAAAATTCTGTAGCATTTCAACACTATGTTAAAAAAAATTGTATATGCTCATATAAATGGGGCTTCATTTTTTTAGAGATAACATGTGTGTATATAGTATGTATTTAAAACACATTATTTACATTTTAAGGCCAGTCTAATAAAATTTTATATAAAGCAAGGCATCTTAGGCAGAACCATTAATATTAATCAATATATCATATAAATGTATTAAGTCGAATGAGAATGGTAAATATTTTTTATATTATATAATAAAAATAATTTTATTTATATCAATTACAATCAGATCAATAGGACGGTCATGTAACCAATTATGTTTTGCTTTATCTGGCAAATATAATGAAAAATACTCATATACTAATTAATCAGAATAGTAAGGCCAAAGAAACGAGTAAAATCTTCTATATATATATATAAAAATGGATTGCTGTTCCTTAGTCTCGCTAAAACTCGAGAACAGCTGAACGGATTTATCTTATCTTAGTCTTTAAATGTTCGTGGAGGTTCAGGGAAGGTATAAAAGCTGAAAAAAATTGATTCATTACTGGGAAAACCATAAAAACAGCCCTTTTCTATTTCCCATACAAACGTTTTTTTTTACATTAGATTTGACAACTAACTAATATGTCAATCATTCTGTCGCACTTCAAAACACGGAGATTTATGGCTTACAGGTAAACTTCAAAAATGTAAATAAAAAACGTAATAGATATTTCTTGATTATAGGGCGATACGAAGTTCGCCAGGTCTTCTAGTATATAAATAAAATTGAAGAGTTGAAAATATTTGCCTCATTATTCTCAAGGCAAAAATAATGTATGTATTGTATCCTATATATCCTATATAAAACCATTATTTAAACCATTATTTCTTATGTGGTAGCTAATCAATAATATGCTTTTCAAAGTCAACATTGTTTACAAAATTTATCTCGTTTGGTTGGCCTTGCTACAAATATAAAATGAACAAGCTTAAATTTAAAAACGAATGAGACAAAGGCGATACAGTTCTTGTGTCTAGTAGAGACCAAGTAAACCCAGCAGACATTTCTTGTAGTGCCCGGAACAATCACCCTGTAAATAAAAAATATTAAATTATATTTCAGTATTTATCAAGAATTTTAAACTTTACAAATCACTTGATTAACTAAAAATAACTATTGATAACTTAATAATTTCTATAAATATAAATGGTCTTAAAATAAGAAATTTATTTCTAGTACAAGATTTATGTTATATTTAGAAATCAATTGAAATGAATTGTTTTTGTGTTAAGATATAAATAGAGTTCTATTTTTAATCTAACTATTATCACCAGTCTTGTATTTGTTATGAATAGAATACTGTTTTCTTCTATAACGTATTCAATTATCAAATATAAGATATTTAAGTAAATTTAAGTACCTTATTAAGTAGTACTTAAAATTGTTCAAGTTGGAGTACAATTATGAGATATTATTGACATATTATATGTGATTATAAAAACTATAAAAATATATACATTTTTAATTTCTTTAAAGAAATAATAACCAAGATATTTATTCATATCCCATAATTAGGTATTACACATATTAAAAATAATGCCGTTATATTATTATCCTATCTTTTCATAGAAGTAATTAAATATCTCATCGCTTACAGGATCCAACAATATTAGTTGAAATTATATTTATATTTAAATTAAATGTTCTTGTTTTTTGGAAGAAACAAGAATTTTGTTTGATGAATATATTTTTTATTTCTTATTTAATTTTTCGCAATAGTCGTAAGCTTGAAAATATTACATAACACCTGTTTCATTTAATGTTATAATTGTCTTACAATCCAAAAGGTTATTTTCACTAGTGCTGGCTGCTATTTAACTATCACAGCAACTAATGCGAAACCAGCCAGAAAGACCTCTCCATTTTCCACTAAAGTCATAATTGTCTAACCATCGAAAAAGTTATTTTTACTATTTAACTACCACAGCAACTGATGCTAAACCAGCTAGAAAGACCTCTCATTTTCTCACTAAAGTAGGAATTTAAAGTACCTCGATCCAGCTCTGCAGGGTCTCTCCGTACTTGGACTGGAACATATCGGCGATGTCTCCAAGGTCCACCTCACAGCGGGTCACCATGATGCGGATGAGCTGACGGTCGTTGGTCCCCAAACCCTTCATAGACTTGTGCAGCCTCTCCGCGAAGAACAACGGTTTGTTGCGGACAACTTTCACTGTGGATATGTCATATAATTCTTAGTGTTGTACCTTCTTGGCAAATTTTCTAGTGCTTTATAGGTGGAATAGCATTGAAAAGTTCGATGAAATGAATGTGACCTTCATATATTTGACTGGAAATTTTAATTCAAATCTTATAATGATATCTAATATAACTATTTGTATATTCAGTGTCTGTAATATTGTATTACTCAAATATTGTAGTTATGACATAGTGGACCTATGGAATATGTACAGGGATATTTTCAGAAACGTCTTAAAGTTTCTGAACATATTCCTGTTTAATTCTTTATATTTTATAAGCAAACGGTATATTATATATCGAAATAATTTCTATATCTCACCGATAGCTCTCAGAGCCTTCTCAAGGTCGCCGGAGAATTCGGCTTTGATGGCGTCATCGATGTCATGACCCGTCAGGAACTGGTACTCCTGGAAAATGGCCGCCAGCTGTGGGAACGAACGGGAACATAGCACCGCGTTGAAAACAGACTCGTCTGTACCGAGACGAAGTTCACCTGGAAGATTAAACGACATTTTAGAACTTTAATCAAAACTCTTATAGGACGGTTTCAGCTTTTCATTTACAATACAACACTGCTTATGAGATTATAAAATATAACTAAACAATACTAAGATCAATAGGGGATTACACAGTTGCAGTTAAAGTTATAAATGTAAGATATTTAAAGGCCATAAACAAAAACATTTTTATGGATTAACAGATCTAGCTAACTTTAAATATATGTACTTATTTGAATATAAAATTATTCATCATCATCATTATCAGCATATCAGAGCCTTCTGCTGAGCAAAGGCCTCTTGTCATACAGATAAGATTTGAGCAATAATCACCACGCTTGCTCAAGACGGGTTAGCGATTTCAAACTAATAATTTGAAATTATAAGTCCAGGTTTCCTCACGATGTTTTCCTTCACCGTCTGTCAGTGGTGTTTAAATACTCTTAGAAAGTACATGTGGCTCGGAAAAGATCAAATTGGTACTTGCCAGGTTTCGAACCTGCGCTCTCATGCAAGAGAGGCGAGCTTTTAACCTCTAGGCCACCACGAACTTCAAAACTATTACAATACAATATTAGATTTTCTTCATTACTAACATATGATATCATAAAAATACGTTTCAATACCTGCTTGCAGTAGGCTTCTAGCGTCCTCTCTGGCTTGATTTTGATCGACGTGGAAATTTTCAGATCTGTTACCCTGAATAAAAAATATATATATTTTAGTGACTGACTTATTTCTTTAACTGTGAGTCAGATGTGTGATCAGCTGATAATTACCATGCACAGTGACGTCATGAGTCTCTTGAAGTTACCAGAAGTGTCGCCGCGTAGGTCGTCTTCTAAGAGAGTTCCGTATACTGAAATAATAACATTTAATATGTAAATTGAATAGTTTTTATTACTCAGTGAAGTGTTATAGTATGAACCGATCATTTAACCCATCTTATCATAGAGTATATACATCTAATAGATGAGCAATACATTATTTATAAATGGTCATATATTTATGGTCAGTACAGATAAGACTTGTGTGGAAGGTGAAGGCTAAAAAACAGGATTGCAGGTTTGACATTTGCGTTAAAATGAAAGTGCACCCCAAGGTTCCATTTTATAGCATTAATGTTTAATGGACATACATTATAGCATTAATGTTTAATGTACATACATCCTGATCGATTGAATGAATACGCGTTTATGCTTCACCACACAGAATATCTTTTTATTGAACAAATTATTTCTTTATATATAATTTTTAATTTGGGACTGATTAGTAGAAAGGATTTTTTTTTTAATTATATAAAAGTCTTTTTATACCTAAACTGTGTTTCTGTTAGTCTTCTACAAAGATTTCTGTTAACGGAAAACTATATTGAATTAATTTTAAGATACTGACAGGAAAAATAAGAAATTTGGACTATTTTTTTTTCAGTTTTTGTGTTTACCGCTTTTTTTTATTCCATCTTTTTGGATAATGATAATGTAGAAGAATCGTAATTCTATAAACTATAGTTAGATATCCAACTGCTAATATATTACAAAGTAATCTTGAGCATTGTGATGAAGCCGAAAATTTGAACTACTATTTATATTTTGTAAACAAAACTTCTAAATCAAACATCTTTGTTTGACGAAATATGAAGGAAGGGCAGAAAGCATTATACTTAATGGTATTTGTATGGAAAATAGATTACACAGACATTTTAACGTAGGAAGTTAGCCATAGTAACTTCGTCACAAATGTTATTACAAGGAATGTAAGCGCCGCTGGGGATTTTAGTGACGTCACCTAAGGCGGTCATTCGTAGAGGCCTATTTGGAATAGTGTGTATTTATGACGCTATTATATTTCCACCACAATATTCATAAGTTTTTAAAGGGATATCTATTCTGAAATAAGTTCAGTGTTGTATTAAAAATGTTAATTCATTCAACCAGTGATTTATTTTTTCAGTTACTAATTCGGTTACGCCGATTAAGAATCTTTGATCCCAATTAGGATACGAGATTGAATTTTTCGACGAGTCGACAAGTATAATGGCTGACTCTTTAAAATGCGGCCGAGAAATTATTTTAATATTAATCTGGCACTAAAAATATTTTTTTCTATATTGTAATGAAATCAATAGCGATCAGATTAAAAGCGTGTTATATATATAAAATTAGAAAAAAATCTAAGGCTAAAAAAAATTTATCATCGAAATACATTTCATACGTTAGTCTATTGCGTACGTAATTTCAATAACATAATGACGTTATGAGGCGTCACAATCGTACATTTACACAGGAATAAATGTATCGGAGTACAGATGATTGGAATCAATTGATGATGAAATTCATAAAAAATATTTTTTTTTCTAATCTACTTTCTACAGCCGATCAGAAACACATTAACAATAATACGATAGCGTCAGAATTGTAGGCGTGTTTTGTAAGACATTTGGAGCTATGCCAGAGCGCTTTTTTTTGTCCTCTTTAGTCATCGATGAGTCAGCATGACGTAGACCAATATTGTTGATCTTTAATAGCAACCAACATACTATAATAATATTGCCAATCCTGGGATCGCCTTTCATATCTTATATTCTTTTATATAGATTAAACAACCACTGATTTGTGCATGTATGATGTTAGTTTATAAACTTATGTTTCACATTAAGGAAATTGTCCATTCTACTTCCATAAATTGACCAAGAATGTGGTTTCACGGTAATGTATATCATTCAGAATTGGTTATATCCTTTCGTTGTTTGCAGGAAGATTCATAAATTAACATAGTGTGTATCAAACTTTTTATGACAAATTTTGAAAAATTAAATGACTTATTTTGATGTTAGGACGTCTTTACATGGAGAGAATTTGAAATAACCTTTTTTTACTACACCAATATAATATGTTTTCAATAATACTACATAAATTTCACATATGTTAAGAACAACAAAAACATAAACAATTTCACGAAAGTATAGTGAACATGTACAAAAATTACAAACAAAATTACTTAAATCATAATAAACGCGAGGTACTTTATAAAATAAAAGGAAAACAAACTAACACATATCGAGACTATACTGCTTAAAAATGTTAGCAACCTTAATACTCTATAGCTTTTGCTATATCAACGTCATAAAACACGGTGATCGTGACACTACACACGAAAGACAAACACAAATATAATTACGAGCATTTTGTTGTTTGTCGCGGATGTATACTTAATAATAACATGGTGTGCAAAACATTTAAAACCAAATAAAGTGAATAAAATATGAGATAGATATAATAGTCGTTTCAAAATTATGCATAGGACCTCGGGATGTCCCGATATATATATTGGTTGCTCTGTTTGTAAATCATTGAGGAAAAATAAAAGTATTTATTTGCTTCGTTCTTTAAATATGAGTCGATATATGCCTCTTACTTTATTTAATAAATATTTTTAATAATTTTTCCCTACTGAATATCTAAGATTAATTCAGAACACAATAATTATAGGTACTTTTTAAGTGATAGATAACGTGATACTTCTTTCAACTAAGCATATATAGTTTTTGCTTTACAGATATCGTTCCAAAGAATAGACGTGCCGTGGAGAGGTCATTGAAGTTGATAAAAATTGGTTATATTGTAACTATTAAAAATATAATAATTAAACGAAATAGAATAACGTAATGTTACAGTAATATTTTAATATGAAACTAGTTCATTTATTATTATTTCACGAGTATTTAATGCTTCGAAAGCAGTGGCGGCTGTTCCTTAAGTGCACTCGTGCGCTGAACCACCAATTCAAAAGATTTAAAAATTACAAAATATTATTCATCTTTATTTTTAAATTACCATTTTAATATTTATTTTTTAAACATATAAAAACGTATAAAAAATTAAATTTTCTAATTATGATCAAATAGCTTGAGCGCTTTACTAAACTCATATCGTGCGCTTCGGCGAGTACACGAGGACTCCAAATACATCTTGTATGAGATACGCATTACTACGCCTGACGCGTGAAACTAAAGATAGTTCATAGAAATGTACCGAGTAATGAGTCGGTTCTCGAGCGCCGCACGAGCGGCCGAAGATTACCGAGAGCGCCCGATGTATGACGAATTGAGCCATGATTGACATCTCGTTATATTGTTTTCTTGCATTTTCTAATTTTTATATTTTAGTAAAGTGCACCACCAGTTCGATTACCCACCGGCCGCCACTGTTCGAAAGTAAACAAAACAAATTCATCTCGGTTCGGTCACGAGCGCTATTAGTTCCATGGAGTCTGTCAAAGTTTAAAAAAAATGCATTGTGATCGTATAGAAACCCACATATGTAATTATTTGTTTTATTTTATTCTTCATTATTATTTTTTAAAAATACGTCTATGAAAATTTAAAATCTCTTAGTAATAGAAAGCCAAACCCTCAAATAAACATCATGCTTTGAAATTGACGTAATAAACTTATATTGTGCAAAAATAAAAATAATAGCAAAAATTATTTGCTTTTTTAAATAATAATACTCTTAATATTTTAAATAATAATAATCTGTTCAAGATGATAATCAACAATTTCGACGAAAAAAATATAGGCTGTTTATGATTTTAAAATAACATTATAAAAAAGAGTTTATAGTTGTTTACACCTAATAAATTTAAAACTATTGGTAAATATTTAAAATAAATACTATGTATATAATATTTTCATAAAATTTTTAACTAGTATATACAGGGTGACCGGTGAATTACTATCGATACTTGAGGACGTGATATTTGACGATCATATATGACGAAATAAAAATTAATATAACATAAATATTAATAAACTTCTAAGTAAAGTTAACCAAAAGTTATGTAATTAATTACGCATCGTGTGAACACCCTACAGATTAGGTATACACACACACTCACACAGACGCGGCGGCGGCGTAGTGTTGTATCAGCACGCCGCCGCACGCGTCCACACTTGGAACACTTGGAACGTGTACACACTTTATTTATTTATACGGAAATTTGGTCAAAAATTAAGTACCTATTTTTTTTACATAATTCGAATGAGAATCATGTACCGAGTATGCTCCTTAAATATTGATAGTAATTCACCAGTCACCCTGTATAGAAGTGAAACCGCGAGAAAAACTAGTTTGAAGAGAAAAATACTTAAAAGTAAATAAAAACCAATCCATGTTTATGTGACTGAAATAGATTAAGAAATTATGCATCAATGCTAAAAAAATAGATAAAAAATGATTGCATGTACGAAGTAAAAGTTATTTATTTATATTAATAATAAACAAAATTCCTACCCAGTGATTTATTTTTTTTAAATATAATTAAATTTTAATTCCCCATAAATAAATAATTTTAATCAATAGATATTACCTTGAAGATTAATACAAACGGAACGGACGAGAATCGAGAAAAAAAAAAAAGATTTTAAATGTATTTTTGAAAAACAAAACAATAAAACATTTTATTCAATGGCAATACCAAATGTTCCATATTCGGAAAGTTGAAAGTTGACTAAACTTTCACTGGTAATCGTGTTGGGAATATTAACAAAGGTGAAAAATTTCAGCCATTACTCTAGTAATGTTTGAGTAACAATATATTAGAAGCGGAATCTATTTTAGTTATAGTCATTATTATAAACACTTTAAATTATCACATACTTATATTGAACACTTATTATATCAGACTTCTATTCTTAACTTGAAGCAAAACTTCCTGACACTTTGATATATTATCAGAAACTAGATTATGTCCCATTGAAGTTAGCAAAAACTTGACTTGCATACATTTTAAGATCAAAAACTTATGTAATTTAATTTATCGTTTGTGCTATCGAGACACAAAAATGTTATATTCAAATACAACAAATATTTTACCGCATGGTTTAAAATTTATAATCCAGAGTATAATTTGTATAAGGTATGAAAAATCTGAAATATATATATGTATGTGTGTGTGTGACGTGTGTGTGTGTGTGTGTAACTTACTTGCTGTGTAAGCCTGTTTGATGACGTTTATCTCGTGATTGGACATAGTGCACATCACTTCTATGAGCACGTCTTCATCAGTGCCAATCCCAGCGGTAGCATCATGCAGTTCCTTGGCGTAGAACTGAGGCAATGGCGTCATGAGAGCTACTACGAGGTCTTCAAACTTGCCGCTAGTCTCACTCTTCAAGTCGGACACCAAATCCTTATACAAAAAATATTGTTATACATCCTACTAATATTATAATTGCGAAAGATTGTGAGTGTGTGTGTATGTTTGTTACTTCTTCACGCTCAAACGGCTGAACCGATTTTAATAAAATTTTGTGTACAGGAAGCTGACGTCCAGGGATAACACATAGGCTACTTTACATCCCGGAAATCCCGGATATCCCCGGGTAACACCGCGGGACGCAGCTAGTGATAAATATGTCATTCAATAATTTTAACATCATATGAAATAAAATTACAATCGGTAAGTAATCATTGAATTAAAAGAAAGGATCGTATACGTAATTAAAACTCCATTTTCGTAATTAGAATTCACCATTAGTACAAATTGTAATTTGAAAACCTATTCATCAACTATAATTAATTAAATCGAATTATTTATTATGACATCTAAAATATTAAGGGCGTGTATTTAACAAATGACTAAATTTGTTAATGGATAAATTTAAATTCATGTCATAAATTGCCACTATTTATAGAAGCATTTGTTTATTTTTTTTAAATCTATAAAAACTTTACTGTGCTCTAATTATGAAGGTTATGTTTACTGATTATTGCAGTAAACAAACCTTGAGGCTTGAAGTACATTACTAGTGAGTAATCTTATCGCAACTTGTACGTTGAATCAACTCTATGACGTTTCAAAACTCTAACAAATGTAAACATGTCATTAATTATTCCATTAAAATAATAAAGTTTCATGATGTGTTTCCTAATCGATTTTAAAAAGGAATAATTTCTCAATTAGATTTTTATTTTATTATATTCGACAAATATTGTCCTATGATCCTATATTTTGTGGTCACAAGGAATCTATTTTTATACTCCTTTCATTTGACGACATCGCGAGAATTGTAACAATAATAATGGTTACAGATAAATTTCTGACAATACATTATAAAACACCAAAATGGCTGAGCAAGTAAGAAATATAATTATAAAAAAACAGTAGATAAACCATTTTTAATTATGCTTTTATGTGGCCATACCAAAAATTAATTGTTCCGTAGCTTTTGAGAACATTGAAAACATACGTAGTACATACCTACTGGTAGAATACAATACGTCTTTATTTTAACATCAGTAAAACATTCTAAGTGTTAATTAAATTGAGTTCTACCAATTGAGATTGCTTTCCAGATATTAAAATAAGTATTAAAGAATGTGAATTCTTAATACTATCAAATCCTTTATATAAACTTTGATGAAGAAAAATGTATTTTTTTTTATATATATTGTGAAACGGTCACAAGACTTCATATATAAAAACTATTTTAACAGTGTTGTTGTCTTGTGTGTTGTCTTGTATTTTAACTACATAACATCGAAGAAATGTCACCTAACTGACAGTTCGGTCACAGATAATAACTTTGTACTGTGTGTATATATATATATATATTATAAGTAATAACCATACATACCTTTCCATACAAGGTCTTAAACTCAAACGCGATACGCAGACGCTGTTCATTGCTTCTACGTGTTAGAACTTGTATGATAGCTTTTTCATCAGTCCCAAAGCCTTTCATGGCCTTCCGAAGAACGGCAGCATCGTCTCTCGGATCGAATGGATTTACTGGCACCACGGTTGGCTTAGACTATTAGAAGAAATACAATATTTGTATATAATACAATCTTCATATAATAATCATATTAAAAATAATGAAAATTCCTATGAAAATAGTCATTAAACTAGGTATTTTCTTCTATATAATCTATGATAGATAGTTAACATTGCAAAGAACATTTTAATAGCTAGCTAGCTAGCTTTTAATAGCTACATTAATACACATGTATGGTTCATAAAAATACTATCAAATAGAAGTACAATAACACATTACACGAGATACATTATTTTTGGCAATGAAACAAGAAAGGCGTTCTTATACCGTGTAGCGAAATGACTTGAATCCACGCCTCACGCCAATTGATGCTCTATAGACGCTGCGCATACTATAATTTGATGTTACCGAGGACATATTAATTAAAAACCAAAAGTAAATATATATTTTGAACCAATCACATCAAACAACACTATTTATTTACATCACACGGAACTGTTTAGTATAAACTGTATATTTTATTGTATAATATTATACGCAGAGCTACGTGCATTGTACTGGGATCCAAATCTAGTACTGAGATGACCAACATCACGGTATTGTGATTAATGTACTCAGTGAGACGAAGTGAGCATAACAATATAATTGCAGTAAACTGTTCCTTGAATAGAGTCAGTGTAGGGTATGCTCCGGTTCTTAGTCAAATATACACTGACATAATATTCAAACAAAAATATATATACAATAAAAATATTATTATATAAAAGAAAATACCATAAAAGAAAAAATATTCTTAGTGAAAATTAGACTTAATAAAATGAAATTAGCATTGAAAAACAATCATTATAAAAAATATATTATTTTAACTATAACTTCATCGTCAATCAACAAGTACTTCTAGTAATTTAACAATTATTTTTGACTTCAGTATTATAAATACTTTATTCCAAAATAGTACATATTCAAATATATTTACTATTTAGTCAAGATTGTTACAGTTGAGGTATAAATTTATAACAAAGAATGTTTTTTATATTGTAATTATCAAAATGCTGACAATGTAGCACATATTACCATGAAAATAAAAAAAAATACCACTGCCTATTATACTGCTACCATTAATCTGATGAAATAGTACTATAATCAGTAGTGACTCACTGGCGGGTATTTTGTTTAGAGTTAGTAATTCCTAACAGGAAATCATTACTAATCATGTAAAGGCAGAGTGAATAATAATCAAAAAATACTTAGGGAACAATATATTTAGGCTTAATAAGTAATGTAAAATAACTTTTATAGCTATTGAAAGCCATATATGAAATATATATAGTAAAATAAATAGAATGTGTTAATTTACTTTTCACTAAGCATCTGATAGCTTGTATTGTAACTTATTTAATGATAAAATATTATAAATAAGGGTCAAAGTGAATACAAAGAAATAAAGATCTGATGAAAAACTAATAGGTACAAGAAAAAGCATTAGAAAGCGTTGCTGGCCAATGTTTTGCTTATCACAAGGTAGGTATTTGAATATAGGGTAATTACCTTGGGTTCATTATATACTGGACTTGATGTGTTATAAGCCTGGTGACTCTGCACACTGTGTGGATATCCCTGATGGCCAGGACTCTGTTGTGATCTGGATTGTGGGTAAGGTTGAGCAGTTGGATGGGCCTGATTAGGTGGATACCCCTGAGATTGATAACTTTGAGCTGGGGGATAACTTTGAGCAGAAGGGTAACCTTGAGCAGGAGGATAGCCTTGAGCGGGAGGATAACCTTGAGAAGGAGGATATCCTTGAGGAGCTTGAGGATAGCCTGAACTAGATTGAGGATAACTTTGCTGTTGAGGATAACTTGACTGTTGTGGATAGCCACTTCCCGTGTTGGGATAGCCTGGCTGGGGAGCAGGATAACCCATAGTGGGATAACCCGGCATCGGTGCCGGGTTTCCAAAAGATTGCGGGGCGCTGTTGCAAAATCCTATATTGTGTAGATATCGAGGCGGACCCTTGAAATCAAATAAATATAATTTACAACCCATATATGAGTGGATACATATCACGTTTTAATATCAGCGGCTAGTTACAATTTATATACGCTTTGATACCTTTTGTTTTATACATTTTTGTGATAAACAAAACAAGTTAACCTACTTTCTAAAGCCTTTCTTCCACTCTGACACAAAAAAATACTTACTTGATAGGGATTCATTGTTGTTTATTGAAGTTTTAATTAAACTTTTAAGATAGTTTACACAAATACAACTATATATAACAAACACGTCTAATGTAAAGCGAAATAATGAATCACAGATAACTTTGTGGCACCAACGGTGGATTGTATGACAGGCTGACAGTCAGTTCCACAGACTACAATATACTACACAGATATAAATAGAAGATACTCTCCTACTATAGAGCATAGTCAACGACAACGGTCAAGACTGAATTGAATAACGGGTAACCTAATTATTTCAATGTAGTGTTGCTATTTATTCGTTCAGAAATATTCAGTTTAAAAAAATTGGAAATATTTTCCATTAACCCTTAACATTTCTTTTTATGTAGTTCTTTCTAAGAGAAAAACTTACCACGACATACATATAAATATAATTTGTGATAGGAACTCCATTAAGATAAACTTATACATTTCTAACCATTGATAAATTTGTAGAGATTTAATGAATTTCTTTATGTTTCTGATTATGTCTTTCTTACTATCTATGAATCTTTGTGGTTAATTTACATTTAATGCCTTATGGGTTACCTTATTGACATCGCTGATGGCGTGGCAATGGTATGAGTGTATCGTGCAAAATTTTACACGACTCTAAGTACAAAAGTTACATCTCTTTGTGAAGCCGCATGGACAGATGGAGATACACATTATCATGTCTCTTTGTTTATTTCTTTAACTCTACTGATGGTTAAGTTTCTTAACGTTGCTGGTCGTTTTGAGAATTTTTTTTTTTCTTACATAGGATAGCGGATCTCAACAAGAAAACCAGATGACCCTTTGTGGAGGTGAAAACTGTGATAATGACCAAAATCGTGACTTGTTTTAGGTGATTATTCCATTAAAGGAGGTCACCTGATTTTGATCTGTAGTGTGACACTTAAAAAATCAGCTCTGACCTAACTATTCTTAATAAAAACGCCTGAATGATTTGGAACAATTTTATTAATTCTTCACTGTGAGGGTATACACCAGTGGGAGTTTTGGCAACGTTAAAATGCCCAGGCACGAAGCATTCTATTCAACATAAGATGTATCGAATTGTGCTTTGTCGATGAAATGTTGAGGTCACTCATTTATATTCATTAAAATAGGGGATTTAGTGCTAACTGTAGTGTATAAAATGCAGTCATTATAAAAAGTATTACTTATCCATACGTTCCCGCACTGTTGAATCTTATATAGTTGATATTGATAATGCAGTGTTTTAAAATTAAAACTGACGTTTTAATAGAGTAGTATCACCTGTTGCTTCAACATCAAATTTTAATTCAGTTTATTTTATTAATGATAGGTGCATTACAAGTCTCATTTTATACGAGTGAGCTCAAAGATTTCTTTATTTGATCCAAGTTTGTCAAATTAAGCTAAAGACGATTTTATCGGCTACATAAAGGAGAGATAAAAATTATGCGTAAACGTGTAAGTAGATGAGCTATTGAGTGTAATTTATATTAGTCCGAAGGATTCTCAAAATACTCGACGAGTCGAATTAAATGTATACCACCTCCATTGATACCCATAGAGACCAGCTTGTGTGTTAGTAAAATAAAAGTCATGACTCATGACAAATGATCGATCTTAATTTCTTTGAAGGCGCCTCAATAATACATATACCTACTTGACATTGCGGATTGACCAATAGATGGTGCACATATTGCAATAGTTTGAATTTCAATTAATTCATTTCATGTGTTTTCAAAAAATTACAGAGATAAAGCACATTTAGCTTATTATATTGTTTTCAGTTATGTCCATTGCGAATGGTTAAGTCCCACATGTTTTTGCTTCGAATGTTTTTACTAATTAAGTTCATATTTGATTTCTGTAATAAAACATTCCCTTATAAATTCCTTTCTTGATACTTAACTGTTAATAACACTGTTTTAAACTCGGCGCATTTTTACAAACTCACATGTACATTAAAGAAAATGATGTGGAGTATTTCTTTAGTGTAGATTATACTCGTTATGAGTATGCTAAAACAATTTTATTAGAGATAGCCTATAGTGAGTCGTGGAAAGTTTCTAATAGTGACGTATGTGATTAAGTTAAAGGTAAAATAATTCAGATATTTTAACTCTGCCACCTATGTTATTCAAAACTTCGTTGTCCTTGAGACGAACTGCGGTTCTTATTTCGGACGATATTCTACATACACAAGGGCGTCGCCAAGGGGGGGCAGAGAGGGGCCGCTGCCCCCCCCCTAGAGATTCTAAAAAAGTTGCTAAATATAACAAGATTTTAATAATAAAGTGGTCGAGAAGTTTACAATGAATCCCCGAAAATTATATTTTAATTAACCTAATATAAACAAACAACGACCATTATAATATTAAAATCTGATAATTAAAAAAATACGCTGTACACTTATTCATATTCAAACTCCTTTTTATTCTATTTTTCTAATAAATGTTATTATAACTTTATACCTATTTACAAGTTTTTTATTGCATAGTCAAGAGCTCGTGCTCGTGTAGCTTTACACATTAGACTCTGTACTGTCACAGAATACCTACAATTCATACCTACTTTTCTCATTCATAGAGAATGAGAAAAGTATGAATTGTAGTCTGTAAAGTCAACTTGCCCCCCCCCCCCCCCCGCCCCATCGGCTGGCGACGCCCTTGTACATACATATATGTTTTATACTTCTGAAGACAGTTTACACTCGGATGGGCTACAAAGAAAGTTGATATCCCCTAAATTAACACTAGGACGTGGTTCATGTGAACAGATGACAATCATTTCAGAACATAAAATTTACATTAGATGATTCTTTACTGGTGTACTACTATTAAGAAAATTGTTATACATATAATATTTGTATTTCCAATATTTCTATTCTTGATTTCCATAATGACTCAAATTTGATGCTGCGCACTTGTAAAGGTGTTTAGAATGTGGACTTACAGAGTATTCCACTTGGTTTAAAGATTTTAGAATGCCATTTTAATGTTATATTTACCAAATGAAATTAACCAAAATTACCAACTTCCTTTGAGTTTTGCTGTTTACGATAAATTTCAAGTGTTTAAAGCCATCTGTGCTAGGATAATAAATCTTTTATAGGTACAAAGCAGACGAGTATATATATACATAATATGTATATTTAAATTGTTATGAGCCATTATATGAATACTAATCAGTGTTTACAGGATGTGACTGGCGAGATAATTTTTTTATTCAATTTACTTATCATATTTATGTACTTATACTAAATACTACATTTAAAAGGCTCATAAATACTTACGAGACAGATGTTCCAATTAACAAGACATTAAGGAAACTTGATCAAGCTGAAACTTAGTATACGATCTTAACACTTTTGGACACAAAAACATATTCTTTTGCGGTCTTAGTCCCTTACAAAATTTTAGTTCGTTCCTTAGAACTTTCTTTAAACTGTTAAATAGATATATAACTATGATCTAATTACTTAAAATTCTGTAAAATAATTTTACTAAAAAAAAAAGATAAATATTTAAAATACATAATAACAAAGGAATATAATTAAAATATGTAAGGAAGAGGTTACCTTAAAAGAACTGCAAGCATGTAATTATAATTAAACATATTACATATGTCAGAAGAATGTTTTATCAAGAACAAGGAATTCAAGAATTCACAATAAGGATACCGTCATCTATCGTTGATTTTGTGCAAGTTAAGTGTAGGACTTTATGGTTCACCAATTTATTGTCTTGATAGAGCAATACCTATTATTATTAATATTCATACATACATGTTACCACAGGCTAATAAGGTTCAAATAAATTCCGTTAGAGGGCACTTTAAAAAATTACACGAAATATGAAATTTGTGACAGTGTTTTTTGGCACAATAAAATAATTCTAAACTAAAATACGGATATATTAAAAAGAAAAAACTCTTAAAAATGAATACGATAAAGCATTGATAATAACTTATAATTCCGTCTTAAATTCAAATTTTGTTTTTCTTAAATAATAGTCAGGTACAGTGGCGGCTGTACCTTAAGTGTACTCGTGCGCTGAACCACCAATTCAAAAGATTTGAAAATTACAAAATATTACTTCATCTTTATTTTTAAATTACCATTTTAATATTTATTTTTTAAATTACAAAAACATATAAAAATTAAATTTCTAATTATAGTCAAAAAGTTTGAGCGCTGTAATACATTAATATCTCGTGCGCTTCGGCGAGTGCACGAGGACTGCTAATACATCTTGTATGAGATACGCATTAATACGCCTGACGCGTGAAACAAAAGATAGTTCATAGAAATGTACCGAGTCATGAGTCGGTTCTCGAGCGCCGCACGAGCGGCCGAAGGTTACCGAGAGCACCCGATGTATGACGAATTGGAATTGAAACGAATCAAAACTTTCTTCCGATATACCATGCACTTCCAAAATGTACTTTCTATGCTTAGTATTGAAAAAAATAATTATACAAACAATATCTGATTTTAATAAAAATTTGATTGAATATTTCGCTTCAGAAAAATGTCGTCGCATTGATTTAATGTATAATAAATAAACATAGTTTATGTCAATTGGTTTTTTGTTAGATTTTCTAATTTAATATTTTAGTAAAGTGCACCACCAGTTCGATAACCCACCAGCCGCCACTGGTCAGGTATTAGGTAACTCTTTAGCTGTAAAATACTATAAGATTTTATCACATATTTTATCATGTTTTGTATTAACCGTTGGGTATCTAAATGTATCTTATACTAATATGTTATCTAACATTCAATCCACATTCATTCCACTTTCTGTTACTTGTTAAAATGAATTTTGTATAGGCTGGCAATCGGAGGTTCCAGGAAAACTATGAAACTTAGGTACTTATTATAAGAATTACATATAAACTTATAACCTATACCTAAGACTACATGATTGTCCCGATATTTGGATAGCAATGGCATTCCATAGCTTGTTAGTTGTGTGGTATCAGGAACCTTCTGGTTCACACGGCTTGGTGTTCGT